AAAAAAAAAAAAAAAAAATTTGGGGGGGAACCAAAGTGAAGAGATTCGTAAGAAATCAGCTTGGAAACCAAGTAGTCCCACAGCTATAGAAGAAACGGCCAGATGAGACAATTGCAAAATAGACTTTCCCACACTTCTTGATGTGAGTTGTATGAAAATAAAATTTGAAAGCTCAAAATAGGCAAAAGGTGTGTTTAAGATAAAGGTCCAGTAGCGTAGCAAGAAGGTGGCACACTAAAAATGGTATGGACAAGCAACAATCAAGAAATTCACTAAGCTCCAAGATATTACACGTGGTACCCTGGCAGCTCTACACCCATCAGTGTCGTCTTCGCCCACTCGGAACATGGGAGGTTTCTCTATAAAGTGCTAGTAAATATGTTAAAGAGAAATATTTCCTAAACATCAACTCATAGTAAGCACTGTGCTATGAGCCTGTGCAGTGTAGATATGATTAGTGGTTATGATTAGTTGGGTGTGGTGGTGTATGTCTGTGATACCAGCTACTGGTATTATGAGCCTGGGCTGAGGCCAGAGGATTGCTTGAGGCCAGGAGTTCGAGACTAGCCTGGGCAACATAACAAGACCCAATCTCAAAAAAACAAAAGTTAGAGAAGTCTTCCAATCCTTCACATAGCTTTCATCTCTCATATGTTGTATACAAGATAATCCTTGTCCTGATGTTCATATAAAAGTAGCACATTAAAAAAAAACCCAAAAAACAAAAAACTAAGCTGCTGGGTTCAAGAGTTTTATCACTGCTAACTAACTTCAGTCTTCAAAGCTGTACAGTCACCTTGGTTCACACTGCTTACTGTTGAATAGATTCTTGTCCTACTCATAACAGTAAGCCAGTCTTTCCAGTGGAACTCGGGCAGGTCTGTGAAGTAAGTTGCTACCATAAGAATTATGTACATGCATTGTCTACTATCATTTTTATGCAGATAACACAGTGACAATCAATAACGCAAAAATAATTTCTTACTTTTTTTTTTTTAGATGGAGTTTCATTCTTATTGCCCAGGTTGGAGTGCAATGGTATGATCTCGACTCACTGTAACCTCTGCCTCCTGGGTTCCAGCAATTCGCTTGCCTCAGCCTCCCAAGTAGCTGAGATTATAGACGCCCACCACCACGCCCAGATAATTTTTTGTATTTTTAGTAGAGAAGGGGTTTCACACCATTTTGGCCAGGCTGGTCTTGAACTCCTGACATCAGGTGATCCACCTGCCTTGACCTCCGAAAGTGCTGGGATTACAGGCATGAGCCACTGCACCTGGCCTTTTTTTTTTTTTGAGATGGAGTCTTGCTCCACCGCCCAGGCTGGAGTGCAGTGGCATGATCTCAGCTCACTGCAACCTCCGCCTCCTGGGCCCAAGCAATTCTGCCTCAGCCTCCCAAGTAGCTGGGACTACAAGCATGCGCCACCATGCCCGGCTAAATTTTGTGTTTTTAGCAGAGAAGGGGTTTGAACACATTGGCCAGGCTGGTTTTGAACTCCAACTCTTGACCTCAGGTGATCCACCGCCGTGGTCTCCCAAAGTGCTGGGATTACAGGCATGAGCCACCATGCCCGGCCACATTTGTATATCTGTACAATACTTTATAGGGAACTTTCATATATATTACCTAATCCTCACAATAGATATTACTGTGGTTGGTGTCAGATTAATCATTTTACAGACAATTAACAGAGCCAGATAAGGCTCAATTATATGGATATACAATACTTAAACAATTCTGGACAATCCTGATAAGTATGTTGGCTTTTTTTTTTTTCTGAGACGAAGTCTCGCTCTGTTGCCTAGGCTGGAGTGCAGTGGCATGATCTCGGCTCACTGCAATCTCCACCTCCCAGGTTCAAGCGATTCTCCTACCTCAGCCTCCTGAGCAGCTGGGATTACAGACGCGTGCCACCATGCCCTGGTAATTTTTGTATTTTTAGTAGAGGAGGGGTTTCACTATGTTGGCCAAGCTGGTCTTGAACGCCCGACCTCAGGTGATACGCCCTCCATGGCCTCCCACAGTGCGGGGATTATAGGCGTGAGCCACCGTGTCCAGCAGTATTTTGGCTTTATTTCAGGGGATTGTTTTATTTGTTTGTTTACTTGTTTATATTATTATTACTTTTCTGAAAGACACTGTCTCACTTTGTTGCCCAGGCTGATCTCGAGCTCCTGGATTCAAGTGACCCTCTCACCTTGACTTCCCAAAGTGCTGAGATTACGGGCAGGAGCCACCGCACCCAGACAGGATTGTTTTTATAAGGTTGTTTTTGTTGCTGCAGCTATTGTTTGCAATAAAAATTCTTGTATGCAATTTTGTTTTGCACATGTATAAATCTATATCTGTAAGATAAATTCTTAGGAGTAGAAAAGCTGGGTGAAATAACATAAAATACATTTGTTTATATATATTTTTTTTTGGCTGGGCACAGTGGCTTACGCCTGTAATCCCAGCACTTTGGGAGGCTGAGATGGGCAGATTACCTGAGGTTGGGAGTTAGAGACCAGCTTGACCAACATGGTGAAACCCCATCTCTACTAAAAATACAAAATTAGCTGGGTATGGTGGTGCATGCCTGTAATCCCAGCCACTCAGGAGGCTGAGGCAGGAGAATTGCTTGAACCTAGGAGGCGGAGATTGCGGTGACCCGAGATCGCGTCATTGCACTCCAGCCTGGGCAACAAGAGCAAAACTCTGTCTCAAAAAAAAATAATAATAATAATATTTTTTACATTGGGTGTGGTGGCTCACAGTCACATTCCCAGAGCTTTGACAGGCCGAAATGGGTAGCTTGAGGCCAGGAGCTCAAGACTAGTCTGGTCAACATAGTGAGACTCTGCCTCTACACAAAATAAAATAAGAAAAACATGTTTAATTGTTTTGGAGACAGCATCTTGCTATCTTGCTCAGGCTGGTCTCAAGGTCCAGGCTCAAGTGATCCTCTTGCCTTAGCCTCCCCGGTAGTTGGAATTACAATTACCAGTTGTACTAGTACGTGCCACTGTACTGGCTCTAATAGTATGCTTTAAAGTTTTAATAATGTCTATTAAATGTTGATTTTTAAAAAATTAAGGCTAAGAAAATTCTCACCTGAGGTCTCATAAAAAAATGACAGGACTGAGATTCACCTCTACAGACTCCCATATCTCATTCTACTCCACTGCATAATTTTTCTTTTTCTTTTTTTTTTGAGACAGGGTTTCGCTCTTGTTGCCCAAGCTGGAGTGCACTGGCACGATCTCGGCTCACTGTAACCTCTGCCTCCTGGGTTCAAGCGATTCTCCTGCCTCAGCCTCCAGAGTAGCTGGGATTGCAGGCATGTGCCACCACGCCCAGCTAATTTTGTATTTTTAGTATAGACGGGGTTTCTCCATGTTGGTCAGGCTGGTCTTGAACTCCCAACCTCAGGTGATCTGCCTACCTCAGCCTCCCAAAGTGCTGGGATTACAGGCATGAGCTACCCGCATAGCCACTTTTCTTTTCTTTTTTTGAGATGCAGTTTTTGCTCTGTTGCCCAGGCGGGGGTGCAATGGCGCTATCTCGGCTCACTGCAACCTCTGCATCCTGGGTTCAGGCGATTGTCCCGCCTCAGCCTCCCAAGTAGCTAGCACTAAAGGCGCCTGCCACCATGCTCAGACAATTTTTGTAGTTTTAGTAGAGATGAAGTTTCACCATGTTGGCCAGGCTGCTTTCCAACTCTTGACCTCAGGTGATCCACCACCTCGGCCTCCCAAAGTGCTGGGGCTGTGTGCCCCCGGCCTACATAACTTTTCTATGCCTCCAAACAAAATGAAAATTCACACTTGCAAACTTACCCAGAAGCCAGCTATCTTTGTGCATACCGGCTTCAAACTGACTACTGAGGGAAGACTGCTGCAGCACGGCACAGTCCTGTAGGCTGCCTGGCCAGTTTGTCTCCACGGTCATTAGTGCCCCTCTAATGTCACACACCATCAGGCAGTTTAAAGAATGCAGGCCTTTTCGGTTCACATAGGAGAGGTCTTCAGCATTTGGTGCCTTGATGGCCACATGGATACAGTCAACTACCCCCATCACCCCTGGCATCCCTGCCAACCCATAGAATTCATCCTTCAGAGCCTGTATGGAGGCTTCATCAGCTGGAAAGCGAATGAACTGTGAGGCCCTTTCCACAAGTGCTTCGGTGACATTGGCAACACAACGACTCATAGACGCCTGACTGATTCCAATGGCATCTCCCATCCGAGTCTGGAAGGAACCTGAGGTATAAAAACCCAATGCTGCAAGGATCTGTGTCTCTGGGCTAATAGCCCTGGATCGCTGAGTAGGCCTGGAAAGATTCGCCCCCAAGAGCTCCACCAAGTAATAAATGAACTGTCGCGGAAACCCATACATGGACATCAAGTATTCATCAGACACATCATCCAGCTTAAAACGGTCCAATGTCCGGTGACCACGGCCATACAGCAAGAGGTCACAGTCAAGCACTGTTATTGGTATAGCCATGGTAAATGTGAAAGTTGTCTCTCTCCTCTGCTTTTTCTGAACTGTTTCCAATGAAGATGTTGGTGCAGGAAGGTATTTTTAAGAAAGTATCAGAATCCAACAGCTAACCACAGTTAAATGGCTCTGCCATTTATAATCTTCTCTCTGTAAATGTTAAAAGAAAAAACATTAGAAACCTACCAAAGACTTTAAAGTGACTCAAAGGCTGGAGCAGCTCCTTTTCTGCAAATTTCCATTTTGTTGAGGCAAAACGTACTGTACTTACAACTCTGGATTTTTCTCCACTAACTCATGGCTGCACGACAGGCTTGCTCTGATTGAAGGATAATGGGAATTTAACCTTTGTGGCTCATTTAATGCCTGGCATTTCAATTGAGAACACCAAAAGAATAATGGAGGTGATGACATAATTATTCACAAGGTAAAAGAGGTCAGCTCCTAACATATAGGCCAAGAAGCAGCTGACATATGTCATAACCACCTTGGGTAAGAATTGGTCACGGGATTCATTATCCAAAAACTTCTGGTTCTACCTGATAAGTACAGGACAGATGCTGGGGTGCTCAAACCAGTCTAACAAGAAAAGAAGGGGCAAAAAAACAAAAAACAAAAAACCACCAACAACAAAGTCCACAACCCAGTCTTATGGACGTACACTGTGTGCTGTAACAAAAGGCTTTTCCCTCACTCCAAGAACTCCAAATCGTGAAGCTGAGGGCCAGGAAGTAGGGAAGACCAGACACATTGGAAGTCCGGAGCGAAAAAGAGGCTGCCCGAACCAGGTTTGGGAGACGACTCCGCCACTTTTAAAGGGCACCCTAAAAACGGATGTCAAAGTCTGATTGCGCCGGCTACTCAGTTAGCCCAGGCCCGTCACCCACCTCTCCGCGGCTGCCAGGTTAACAGCCACACTCCCCACCCACCTAGCCGGGTTGGACCCTCCTCCGGAACCGGCTACTGCACACAGGCCGCCACGGCGCGCAACAGCGGCACCGCCCCTTCCGCGTCAGGGCCCGCCCCACGCCGCGTCCTCACTGCCGCTGCCACCGCGACCTGCGGTTCGTCTTCGCATATTCCACACATCACCCAAACGGTCTCTGTCTCTCTCAAACACCTCCTTTCCGTCTTTATTTTATCTTGAGTCGCTTAGAAAAATTAGAGAACAAAGCTTACGTGGAAAGAAAATCAACTTTCTTGGAGATTTTGAGGACTAAAAGAATAAATAGGGCATCATTCTGTAGCGAAAGTGCGATTAAGGTTAGGCATCTGGCTTTCCCCCATAGCCCTCTTCCACCCCCCCGCCCCCGGCCATTACCGAAGCGGATGAAAACAAACACTAACGATGGCGGCGCCGGAGAGCGACCGGCTGCTGGGCTTAAGGCAGGAGTGACCGCTTAACCAGTGAGGGAAGCACTGAAGAGCGCCAGTCGACGTGGGTGCGACAACTCGCGGAGTCCTAAGAGCAAAACGTCTGGGGCCTGCGAGCCAGGACCCTTCCGAAGCCTTAGGTGTCTATCGGCGACGTGTACGGTCACTGCAGCTCCGGAGCGCGGAACCCTCAGCCAGGAGACGCGGCTGGCCGGTCCCAGGTCCCGGCCTCCGTAATGAGAGCCCGGAGCCACACTTTGTGCCGCAGCTTCGCAGGTACTAACTTCTGGGGGGGGATACCCCGAGATCTCTCAGCGCCCCCGAGTGGGAGGCTGTGGATCTGCGTCCCCTTGGCTGCTGCTTCGTGGAAGTCGAAGGAGATTAGCCACGGTTCAATCCCCTGGGCCCTTGAGTGTTCTATGGGAAGTTGGGTTGGTCTAGGCCCCGTTGGCCCCTGCTTGTTTGACAGAGAATCCCCTCCACCCCTAGAGGTTTCCTCTCTACTTTTTCTACTCTTTGGGTTAGGTCGTCAGGCGTTTTGGAGGTAATTTGGGGGGCCATAACTCCGGGGTTGGGTGCCAGTATGAGTGAGGTAGGGTTTCATTCAATCAAGATTTGTTGAGTGCCAAATATGTACTCCGCGTGTAGGTGAGGGTGACTGTTGACTAGTGAAAAAAGGGACCCAAGGTTCACGACTGTCTTCTTACTGTCAGTGGAACGACCTGTGGAAACCTGCGATCCATTCTCATTAAATAAATCTCTGGGTAAGTAGCTAAGCACCTTCTTGAGCTCATCACTAATTCATTTTCGTTTTCACTTTTCCAGTGAGTTCCCAGTTAGCCTGATCAATTCAGCGTAGCATTTCACTTTTAGTATTTCTTTGTTCTCTCGCCACCCCGCAGCCCAAAAGAAAAAAGAGATTTTAAAAAATTACCTATTTTCTCATTACACACGTAGTTTAAAACTCATCTCGTAAGGTGATAGAATTTACTGGACACCTTTAGTGGGAAATGTATTATAATAAGAAACAACAGACTCTTCCTTTACACTAAATTAGCTTCCAGATTTTGTATGTTATTTTATGACTGTTATTCCTTTTCATGTGTGCATGTAGTGGCTCCAGCTCAGTTATAAGGTTTGTTGTTGTTTTCAACTCTGCATTTATCAGCTCAGGTGAAGTCTTAATTTTTCAGATTTTAAAATTTTTATCATTAGAGATAAAGTATTGCTCTGTCACCCAAGCTGGAGTACAGTAGCGTCTTCATAGGTAACTTTAACCTCAAACTCCTAGGCTCAGGGAATCATCCCACCTCAGCCTTCCAAAGTGTCGGGATTACATGCATAAACCACAGAGTCCAGCCCAGGAGCTTAATCTCAAAGGAAGTTTACCTGAACTTTAGGTGTGGAATATCCGAAAGTAACTTCCAGCATGGGATGTGGAGCTAAGTAAGATGAATTTACATAAACCATCTTTTTTCCTGCATGTGTTTAGCAGAGGAGAGTGCATAGAGTTGCTGGTCATTGCTTCCTATCAAATTGTGGAAACCAATAAAAACTGAAAGTATTCTATGAGAGAATAGAGGTACTGTAGCTAGGAAGAATGCAAAGGAGGCTGCCCAGAGGGAATCAAACCTTTGTAAAGTTTAGGTTTTACATCTTTAAAAGGATCTTAAGTCTCTAAAAGGATTTAAAGGTTATTTTAAATAATTAGCTGCTTTTTTTTTAATGTCCTTGGAAGGTAGATTTCTTGCTTTTTTTTTTTTGAGGTGGAGTTTCACTCTTGTTGCCCAGGCTAGAGTGCAATGTGCGATCTTGGCTCACTGCAACCTCTGCCTCCCATGTTCAAGCGATTCTCCTGCCTCAGCCTCCCGAGTAGCTGGGATTACAAGCATTTGCCAGCACACCCAGATAATTTTGTATTTTTAGTAGAGATGGGGTTTTTCCATGTTAGTCAGGCTGTTATTGAACTCCCGACCTCAGGTTATCCGCCTTCCTTGGCCTCCTGAAGTGCTGAGATTACAGATATGAGCCACCACGCCCAGCCAATTTCTTGCTTTTAACTAAAGAGTAAGTGTGGGCCAGTTTATTAAAAATCCTCTGAAGGGGCCAGGCAGGGTGGCTCAAGCCTGTAATCCCAGCACTTTGGGAGGCTGAGGCAGGCGAATCACGAGGTCAGAAGTTCAAGACCAGCCTGGCCAACATGGTGAAACCCCGTCTCTACTAAAAATACAAAAAATTAGCTGGATGTGGTGTTGGGCGCCTGTAATCCCAGCTGCTCGGGTGATTGAGGCAGGAGAATCGCTTGAACCCAGGAGGCGGAGGTTGTGGTGAGCCCTAGGTCACGCCACTGCACTCCAACCTGGGAGACAATGCCCCTCTGTCTCAAAAAAAAAAAAAAAAAAAAATCCTCTGAGGACCAGTATAGGTTACATAGGCAATTTGTCTGGTTTTTTTTTGTTTGTTTGTTTTTTGTTTTTGTTTTGTTTGCAATGGAGTTTCACTCTTGTTGCCCACGCTGGAGGACAGTGGCATGATCTCGGCACACTGCAACAACCTCCGCCTCCCAAGTTCAAGCAATTCTCCTGCCTCAGCCCGAGAAACTGCGATTACAGGCACCCACCACCACGACTGGCTAATTTTTTGTATTTTTAGTAGAGATGGGGTTTCGCCATGTCGGCCAGGCTGGTCTCCAACTCCTGACCTCAAGTGATCCACCCACCTCGGCCTCCCAAAGTGCTGGGATTACAGGTGTGAGCGACCGCACCAGGCCTGGCAATCTGTCTTATCCTGGTATTTTTTTGTATGCGCTTGGTCATAACAGAAGGGATGAGAATGTGAATTACCACTGCTTAGAAAAACAACTCAATTGGGCTGGGCACGGTTGTTCACACCTGAAATCCTAGCACTTTGGCAGGCTGAGGCCGGCAGATCACCTGAGGTCAGGAGTTTGAGACCAGCCTGGCCAACATGGAGAAACCCTGTTTCTACTAAAAATACAAAAATACCCAGGCCTGTAATCCTAGCTATTCAGGAGGTTGAGACAGGAGGATTGCTTGAACTGGGGAGGCAGAGGTTTCTGTGAGCCGAGATCACGCCATTGCATTCCAACCTGGGCAACAAGAGCGAAAACTCCGTCTCAAAAGAAAAACAAATCAATTAACATGCATGGTTGACTTAACAGGGTCTCCTCAGTAAAAGTAAAGGTAAATCAAGAATTCATAGAAGTCATAACTTACACAAACCACCTGTGGAGCAGAAAAATAAAATGAAAAAAGTAATAACTTAGTATTGCTGTTTTGGAAAATGCTGCTTTCACTTTTGATTCATACACGTGAAAGAAATAGTAAAGAAGTAATTAATCATTTTACATTTTTTTCTTTCTTTCCTTCCTTCTCTCTTCTCTTCTCTTTTCTTTTCTTTTCTTTCTTTTCTTTCTTTTCTTTCTTGAGTCTTGCTCTGTTGCCCAGGCTGGAGTGTAGTGGCGCGATCTCAGCTCCCTGCAACCTCTGCCTCCCAGGTTTAAGCTATTCTCCTGCCTCAGCCTCCTGAGTAACTAGGGTTACAGGTGCGCACCATCACACCCGGCTAATTTTTGTATTTTTAGTAGAGACGGGGTTTCTCTGTGTTAGTTAGGCTGGTCTCCAACTCCTGACCTAGTGATCCACCCACCTCGGCCTCCCAAAGTGCTGGAATTACAGACATGAGCCACCGCGCCCGGCCATATTTGCTTATTATTTTGAGTTGTTGATACTTTCTTTTTACATGAAGTCTGTAGTTTATAAAATGATGAATTTGTCTACTTAAGAGTTGGGGGGAAGAGTTACGGGTGTGTACTGGCAGTAGGCTGTGGATTTGGAGCTGTGAAAGCTTCTCCCAAGGCTATTCAGTCTTGTTTCTATCTGTTTCTTGGGGTTTCAGTGTTTCTAAACTAAGTTTTAGGTTAATATCTTGAGTTTTCATTTCCTTTTGCATGTAGGTAGTTTGATTATGGATCTTACATTTATGTGCTCTTCTGACTTGTGCTTTTAATGTTTTGAGAGCAATTTGCCCACCTCTCAACGTTGCCATGATAGATGGCAAACCTCTTTGTGGCTTCTCCAGGATATTTTGAGCATCTGTAATCAAGGAAAGGAGCACCTGGCTCTGGGGCTTGATGCAGGGTACAGGGCTTTTACCTGCCTATAAGGTTAAGGTCATTTCTTCCAACCCTATTCTTACTCTCATGTGTTTGTCAAAAGGACCTAACCCTTGTCCCTTGTAGGCCTCGGTTCCCTGGCATCAGATTTCTCTTACATCTATAGCTTTGATTGTACTCTGTATGGAATCTGGGATATCTCCCATTTTTCTAGTTTAGCTGTGTGTCAGAACATTTTTATTGTCATTTTATCTACATCTTTATGTGTTTGTAGTGAGAGGGGGAACTGACAGCATCAGTTCAGTCCACCCTGTTGATGAAAGGCTACTTAAGAGATTTTTTTTTGGAGATGGAGTTTTGCTCTGTTGCCCAGGCTGGAGTGCAGTGAAGCAATCTCAGCGTACTACAACCTCTGCCTCCCAGGTTCAAGCGATTCTCCTGCCTCAGCCTCCCGTGGAGCTGGGATTACAGGTGCCTGCCTCCACACCGGGCTAATTTTTTGTATTTTTAGTAGAGACAGGGTTTTACCATGG